ATCACAGGTGTGAGCCACCATGCTCAGCACTCTTTTTAAAAAGTTATGTAGTGTACACTACAATAAATATGCGTGTCTGAATAATTTTAGCAACATGAGCAAATCCTTTGAATTTTAAATAAACTTATTTAAGCAATTACCAATATTGGTCTATTATCTCTGTCTTCATCTTTCTCATAATTTCCCTTGCCTGTTGACTGTCCTTCCTAAAAGGGAAATGGCCACAGGACTAATGGGATACAAGAGAGCCCAACTACTGCATGGCTGTCCAACTCTGACTAAATAGAACATCTCAACCAAACCTTTTTTGGTTTTATTCTCCTCTGGGACCCCACTCAATTCCTCTATTCAGAGTTCTGCATAACTCCTGATCTCAATAGAAGCATGGATCCCCAACCCTAAATTCCCATATAGTCTTACTATTCCTCCTCTGTCATTTTCTTTCCAATCCTACATGATAAGCTGAGGCCTGAACAATGATTTTGTGTTCCAATCCTGTGTGTTCACGATACCCTGTGAGCTCAGCTGCATTCCTCAAGAGCCTCAAGGGCCTTAAACAAGAATCAGTCCTCCATAATCTTGTCTGTGCCCTACCCACCATAATAGACATCCATTATTTTAATTTTGCATATTTCCTCCAAAGTTGAAGAAATAAGCCAAAGACCACAGTATAGTAACAAAGAAGGCAGAATTCCCTGGAGGCTTAAAAAAAATATATCATTTTCTGTTTCAGTATGGCTGCCAGTCAGCTCCTTTGATGTAAAGCATCTATCCTCGTCAAAGAAACAAGGAATGTCTGGTTCTCCTTTCTAGCCTGTGAAGTAGAAGACGGTGTCATTTGTTGTACAGAACCAGGAGCCCCATGTTACTGGGCTGCAAACTACTGACTGCTTTGGTTAACATACTGAAAATTTCATCACTTGTCTTTAATAAAAGGCCATGTGTGTAGGGGAAGACCTGAGCAGTTGTCATTGAGTTTCTCTTCCCCAGCTCATGAGCTACACCTGGCAGAGAGCAACAACACCAGTATGTAATCAAACAGGTTACCTGAAATTTTTGCATTTCAGTTTTATAGTTTGGTAGTCTTTAAGTCTGTTTAGAAAACTTCATGTGTTCTTATTTGGTTATAAAATGCTTTTCGTATCTCCTCCTTCTGTCTAATAATATTTAGTCATTTATGGCTTCTGCTTTAAAAAATAAAGATTATTTGAACATTTTTTAACTTAAATAATTGAAAACCCAAGAGAAGAATTCTATTTTGAGGGAGGATAGGTATTCTCTGTGACATCCTTTATTCTATGCTTTATAACCTCTTATAGGAAATTTAATCATAGAAGCTACAAAATGATATAATCTATGATCTAGAAATGACCTTTAGAACAGTGCTTCTCAAATTTTAAAGAGCATGCAAAGCACCTGGGGATCTTGTTAAAATTCAAATTGATTCAGTAGGCGGCGCCTGAAATTCTGTGTTTCTGTCAAGCTGCCAGGTGATGGTGATGCAACTGCCTAAACTATATAGTTCTGTGTTGCTCAGCTAGATGACCTGACGGAATTCAGTCCAGTGGGCTTCCATTAAGCTTCCCTATCACTGATACAGAGGGAAGACATGATAGGCTTAAAAGATAAAACCCCTATCTTTGAAGAGAGAAAAACAACCATGTTGTAAAAAGTAGAGTCTATACCCAGTCTTATTCATTGATTTTTAATAAATATATGACATTTTTTATATCAGAATAAACATTGACACTTTAAAAGCAGTTATCTAGGGTGATGATATTCATTACATGTCATATTTTAGCTTACCTGTGTATAAATTCTGTATTTCCATTCACTAAGAAGATATTGTGATGTTTTGAGTGTTACATAATGTATATTTGTAGGTTTTTGAAATAAAAAGTTTTATTTTACTGAAGTAGCCATTTACATTCACACCAAAATGTTGTAGTAGCTGAACCTGAAATGTATAGCTGCTTAAATATATTGAACGATGTTCCTAAATATGCACATTTTTAGTTCTCATATATTTTTAGTCCTTAGGGGAAGCAATTAATGAATCTATGTGGGCTTTCATGACAGTTATTATCCTCTGGTAACTATGATTTTTTTTTTTTTTTTAATGAGTAACAGTGGTGTGGATAATGCAAAATTAAAGTTATAACAAAAACCCCATTACAATTAGCATTTAGAACTCATTCAACAGAACAGATTTCACTTCCTAGATGAGTTTTATTAGAATAATATTAAAATACGAAATGTGTTTCATCATTTGATGGTGGGTAGGTCACTCCATAAGTGTTTCAAGGACAGAGAAGCCTCAGGCTGCAATTTAGTAATAATAGTAAAGTCTATTTATGTGGCATGATTGACTTTGCCATTTTGACATTTACCTTTTACAGGCTGAACCTTGAACAGGCTAGAAAGCTAGTAAACATGAAGCCAGTTCAGAAATCCTCAGTTTTTAGGTTCAGTGGTTCTTCAGACACACTAACAAGGAGGTTCTGCTTTGTGTTCTTGAATGATAAAGAAGAAATGGAAAAAGACAATAATGTGGGTATTCTCATATGATATTTACAGCAATAAAATGCTGGCATCCCAGTTATAAAGAAAACTGAGATCACAAGCCCTCACCCAACTTGTTCAAGTGCCCACATCTCTGTGGTAGAGCTGCTATTCGAGCCTAGGCAGCCTGACTCCAATAAGCTCTGAGTGTTTTTCATAATCCCTTTGAGTTGAAATTGTAGATACAGACACGATAGGTACAGACACTTTGGCCATAAAGTGATTCAAGAAATAATGACTATCCCACAGAGCCATCTGTTTCTCTCCACCTCATCACTGGGCTCTTCCATTTCTGGTTAGTAAGGAAAGGTCTCCAACAGCGGTTCTTCCTTCCTGTTTCCACCCTTCCCACTCAGGATAGCACGAAGTCTGAACAGTGTATCTACTTAGCATCTTTAGTAATTCAGGCTGTGAGCACACTTCACCCTCCATTTAGTGGCTGTTTATTGATAGTTGTGCTAAGCACTGTGAGGGGACAGAATTCAGAAATGTGTCCAAGCTTCAAGGAACTCAGGATAATAGCAGTGGTGTGATAACAAAGTTCTTTTAGGAAGACAGAGTAGGTGGTGTTATTTTCCGTTTCCAATGTAGACCTTTTTACCATGACATTTAGAGCTATGTTTATTTGGATTGGTGTTTAAAATTAGAAATTGACCATCTGCATTTTTCTTGATAAGTATGGAATTGCCCTGACCAAAAAGGTTTTTGAAGGTCAGAATAGCTTATATTTGCAGCATTATTTTTTGTAAAAGAGAAAATTATATAGGAAAGTTTAAAAATAATGGCCAGTAGTTGAAGACTTAAGATTTTAGAATATATATCCAGACACATATGTAGCCATTGAAATCAAAATTTTAAAGACTGCACAACAGCATAAAAATCGCAAACATGTATGTGCTAGACATCAAGCAAAATGAGATAAGGAAAAGTAATCTTGATATTTGTAGAGTATCTAATTTATACCTGCACTCTGCTATGTGTTATTTAATATTCTCATTGTATCTTTCTAACAGCATGCAAAGTGATGTTATTTCAGTATTTCACAATTGAAGGAAGGGCACAGATATGTTAGGGGACATCACCAAGGTCACAGACAGTGGTTGAACAAGAACTCAAACAAAGATCTCCTAAAAATCCAAATCCCCTAAGTCAATTTATTCTAAGCTATTTCACCCTCCTCCATAGCATTGCTTTTGGTTCAGAAATAATTAGTTTGACAGTAAAGAGTAGAGTCACATGAATTCAGCTGAAGAGTGCATGTCTTGTGAAAATACCAAATCTTAAAAATAATTGTGAATTATTTTAGGCTGTAGTACAGAATTGAAGGACAATTGATAGTTGACACTGTCTGAAAAATGAAGTGTAATCATAGTGTCAACACCTTAATTTTATCTATTTGAAATATGCATTTGTGTAACTGCCAAAATATTAGCTGCTTTCTGTTAGCCAGAATGTTCCAGGGACAGGAGCAAAACAGCCTTTATTTATAAAGAGCAAGCAAAATATATTTTCCTTTGGGAAGGACTTTTGTTGTTGTTAACTGATGTCTGAGAATTTGGGCATTAAAATCTTTGTATTAAACTGGTGCAACATAATTCATGCCATTTTAAAAACACTTGTAATCTTTTTTTCCCATGTGATAGCTTTGTATTGCAATTATTATGCATTACTGAAAATTCTATGAGAATTATGTAACTGCTTTTTAATAGGTAATATAAAATTGTTCTTAAAAATTTTATTTTTCTCTGCCATATTTTATCTCTTTGAATGTTTTTACTTCACTCTATGGTAAACATTCATCATCATAAAAGTTAAACGTGGGGTTAAATAAAGACTTTGTCTTGTTAAATTACTTCAGTTTTGGAGGGGCTTTCGTGGTTGCATTTTCATTTTGTTAGGATTTTTACCCAAAAACATCAGTAACATTTCATAGTTTAATTTTGTGTTAAAAGCCTGGGATATTGCTAAGAAGAGAAAACAAAGAATAAGTAGATATAGATTTGTCAGCTTTAGCCACTTATTTTTTATTTCTTGTCATTGAAATTTTCAAAAAATTCTTTGGTACTCAGTGAACAGGTCCAAAAAAAAAATTCTTTCCATCTGAAATTATACCACTTTTAAACATTTATTTTTTCTCAAATAGTACTGTCTGATTAGGCTGTTAGGTTTTCATGTTACCTAATGCTTTCTCATTAATGAAAAAATACTATTTCTTTAGATGTCTGTCCTTTTTAAAGCACAGAGTACACAGCAGCTACTTGAAAACTTTCCTTCTTCCTAGTTATCTTTATCTATTTGTATAAATTGCTAAATTGCTTTCATAAAATACCTGTAGACATAAGGGCATAATTTGCACAAGCGGATGAAGGTTTTTGTTTTCCATGAAGGAAAGCTTGAAATGGCCTCCTAACTGTTTTCCTTCCTTTCTCTTCTTGCAGTATCCAGCTGCGCTGATGAACCTGGGAGCCATTCTGCACCTCAACGGCAGACTCCAGAAGGCCGAGGCGAACTACCTGCGGGCCCTGCAGCTCAAGCCAGATGATGTCATCACACAGTCCAATCTTCGCAAACTGTGGAACATCATGGAAAAACAAGGCTTAAAGACTTCTAAGACCTGACAGAGAAAGAAGAAACCCATCCTCCTCCAGTTTTAAAAGCTGGCTTCCTTAGCAGACCGAACTTCCCAGCAGTGCGATGACAAGAGCTGGTGTTGGACTTCAAGACCAGGGCAGAGGTCACTGAGGTCCCTACCACTTCTGGAAGAATCTGCTTTGCTGACACAGCTGTTAACGCCAAAAAGGGGATCATCAGAAACCTCCTGGCATTCTTAAAAGGGAGGGGTGGGTGTATAAGTCACAGATTTTGTTCATTTCCTGAAAGCTAATTTCAAAATTAACTTGTTCCTTAAACACTGTGAGAGGAAGTCAGAGTGTCCATTCCGCCATGGTAAACAATTAGGGTTAAGTGTAACTAGAGAGTGATAAAGGCGTAGAGCGGGTCCCAGTGAGCCGCTGGTTGTCCTAACGCTGCTGTCTTCCCTCTTTGGGACAGCCTGCTTATCAGTTTCTGAAGCTTAGAAAAATTTTTTTGTTTTAATACTGCATCAAGATCTGTCCAAATCCACTATCGTTTCTTGACTAGTGCACATAATGTTTTATGATTTGGATGTCAGAAGCTTCATTCATTTGGACATTATTTGCTTTTTATGTTCTGAACAGGATATGGAGAGCAGAGCTAACCATCTTCACACTCGAGTTGTATAAGGGACTGGGGAGGCCTTATATGTGTCAGGCAGGCATTTTCAAAATTTTAATGTCACCAATATTTTCCACCAAGCTGCCCAGTAGAATTCATTGTATTAATTCTTTTGAAATTACCTTTTAAAATGGCTATTTCTGGATAATGTGCAAGCTTACATAAGCATAAAGGACAGGGACATTTGTAAGCCTTCCAGTTCCAATAACCAAAGCTGTTAGACAAAAGGGAAGGTGTTTTGTGCTTCCGAGATGTTGCTGGTTAAAAAATCAACTCTACGCAGAGTGTATGATAGTGGTTGCCAGTGATTTTGTATTTTGAAAAGAGTAGGTATCAAATATTAATCACTTTCTAATAGGTACCTAAACAGCAATGCTGAAAAATTTTCAAGGAATTATTTTTGTCTTACTTTGTTCTTCTCAAAAGGCATCAAAACCAACTTATTTTAAGGTGCAATAGAGTATAGCATTAGACTGCATGTTTCTAGGTCTTCTGCCAAGTGCTTTTCTCAGTTGAAAACTATTTCTCACTAGCAAATTTGGTATTTTATTTCATTACCTGTTAGTAACTACTTCAATGATCATTTCACAAGAAAAAGACTACGAATTAGGTCAAGAACAACATTTTTATTGAACATTTTTTGGCTTGCAGTTAAACTTTGCCACTAAAACCTAACTTCATAAAACACTAGTAGTCCATTATCAACTTCTTCATAGAGAAAGTAGCTATACTATATCCTACATATTTATTTATTTATTATTCTACCATAGCAAATAACAAAACTTGATGCATTAAGCCAGTTTTTTGCAACTGAAAATCACCTGTTTCTCCTTCCTTTTCACTCCAGGTATATATGATCAGCATCTCCATTAAAAGGAAGCTGGACATGCAAATACATCATATTATGTTTTCTCCATATTTTATGTTTTTCTATGTATCTGAATACAGTGGGATAAATAATTGAAGGTAGTGTTCCTACAGCATTAGTGTTTTTGTGAGAAGGGCAAATGTAGTGAGAAAGATTTTTTCATGCCATTAATAAGAAAGCCCTTCTGTAAGATATATATTATTTTGTAAACATTTCATTGAAGGGCCAAAAGCTAAATTATAAATTAAATCACTGTGTTTTCAGAATGATATTTAACAACAACAAACCCATGATCAAGCCAAAATAGTGGGTTGAAGTGTATTATTCATCTTTTAGTGCATTGGCAATTGCAAAAAAAAAAAAGGGGGGAATTTAATATAAAGCTATAGAGATTAATTCAGTGTCTAACATTTGTATTTATTTAAATAGTTATTGACCTATGATGACTTTCTAGTCTTAACATTTTATCTTTTTATTGTTATTGATCCTCCTTTCGAAGACCTGGTCCTTAACAGGTTGACTGAATGCGCAGTTGAGGCACTTCTTGTGACACTGGCTCCCAAGTAGCATTAATAATTGGGCCTGTGTCATAAAATGCACGGATCACTAATAATTAAATGTCCCTGACACTTTTCACTATAGGGCTGGACTTAGTAACTGACCAACTTGGTGGGGGGAGGGTGGGGAGGGGCATTAGAACATGATCAAAAAATGTCTCCGCTCAGGGATTTATGGTGGATTATTGCAGACAGTGCTAAAAATATAGAGCACAAGACAAGTTTACTAAATTAAAATTTTATTTTTTGAGAAACTGTTATTTGTATAAATTATCAAGATTTGTAGGCTTTCCTTTTGTAGAAATAATTGTTTTATGTGCCAGAGAATTTCAATTTTGTTTTCAACAATAAAGCATTGATAACAAATATATTGTGTAAGCTTTGTTTAAATCTTCTACAGCAACAACACAAACTCTGAAATTTTAATGAAACTAGGTGAAAGGTTAAAAAGAATGAAGGTTGGGCATCAAATAGAGACCCATTGTGGTAATGTATAATTAATAATCTCCATTTTTAAAAATTATTATGCAAGTGGGCATTGCCAGTATCACCAGGTTTACCATGTTTAGAAAAGATGATAGTTTGTTTTGTTTCTTTGGTTGGTGAACTATAGGAAAAGATGCTATGAAGTTTTCCAAGAAGGACATATTTATAATTTTCTGGCTTCAGTAAGTTGTTCGGTAAAAAGGGCTGTATTTAGAAGACACTGAATCTCTAGTTCTGGTCTTGGATGTAAGCACAGCCCCATTGTGCTGTGAAATGTGGGTGTTGCGTATTCAGGTGTAAGTTATAAGGAAGCGTTGGGTTCTAGACATGGTGCAAAGTGACAGAGAATTCAGCAGTCTTGTGAAAATTGTTATGTCACACGATTATTGCCTGTTTCCTCTATTATGGGATAAAAGTTAGCTGTGAGGACTTTTTTTATATGTTAAACATCCTATGGATGTGTGAGGTTATTATCCCCTTTTACAGATAGGGAAACTAAGACTCAGGGGTATGAAACAACCTACCCAATGTCACTAAGCTAGCAAGTTGCAAGCCTGTCCCCAAGTTGACTGATGATGTGTCCTGGGTCATGTGGGCACACAGTCATTGAACCAGAGGTCTGGGTATCAACCTTCTTGGCATTTCTCTAGCAATTTTATTTCTACAAATCACATTCCGTACCTCTCTCTCTACAGATGATTGTGACAATTAAAGGAGGTAATTCATTAAAAAACTTAAAAATTTAGATTGTAACAGCCAAAAAAAAAAAAAAAAAAAAGACTTCAGTGTTCACATAGTTAAATACATGTACTTTCCACCTGAGGAATATTAAGCCTCACTAGTGATTTAACAAAGATCCCAAAACTCGATAGTGGAAGCAAACACCAGGTTAAAGAAATTTGTTAAAAGGTCTTGCTATATGAAGAATTACATAGTTGTTTTTTTTTAATGAAGGTATAGTTGCAACGTGAATTGGAGCACTGTACTTGGAAACAAGTGAAGGCAGGGACCGTGATTTTGGGGGGACATTATTCTCCAGCCTAACACATTGTTAAGTAGAAGACCCTAAAATGTACCATAAATGAAAATTCTGTTATGTACTCATAAGATATGATTTTTTTAAGTCACTTTCTAAAAAAGTTGAGATTTGGGAATTTGCTGATTTACTGTTTTCAGCTGAATGATACCAGTTTTCACATAGTATATTTTTGCAGTTAAAAAAAAAGTACATCTAAGTCTTGGTTCTTTCTATTACAAAGAAAGGAATTGGGTTTCCATAAATAATTTAAGAAATATGACAATTTCAATTTATTTGTATGTACCTTTGTAATATGATTTATCAATTTAAGTATTATTTTCAGTACTATAGAATGTGCTTCCTACTATTCAAAATTCTAATTATTTTAATAAAGGGGCATTGCCAGAAAACTTGGCTTATGCGTTGGAACTATTACACACTGTAAAGCTAGAACAAGCTGAATGGTAATGCAATTGTGCTATTATGCTTAGGTTCGCAGTAGAGAAAGATGCATGGGTACTAAGATTTTAACTTGCTGTGTCATTTTGGGTGGTCTTCCGGCAGGATGCAATCAGAGAGGCCTTAGAGTCAGCTTTCATTCCATCTGCCACTTCACCGCATATTGGCCTTTTGTTGTTGTTGTTCTATAGAGATTTGAGATGTATTTTTTCTCCCTGGAGGACTGTTGGGTTTAAGTTTCTTGTTAACTTGAAATTCCTGTGAAGTTTTTCTTCTATGTTTCCCAAAACCTTCCTCCAACTTCTTATAGCTGCTCTCTGATGTTATTGCGCTATTTAATTGTCTGCTTCCAAAGAGTGGAAAGAAATATTAACTACTTTTTTAGCTAGAAAGTTCTTGGATCCAAGTGAGAAAGTTATAAATATGTGAGACAATGTGGTGAGATCATTTAAAAATACCTATAGGAATCTAAGTTAATATGGTATCGAAAATGGTGTTTGGGAAAAGTTTCTGGAGGTTCCCAAAAGGAAAGAAGTAAGGTGGAGAATTAAGGGATAGACACATGGAAAATTAACAGCTAATTGTCCTTAATAATTATTAAGCTTTTGTTGGAGGGGTAGAGGATTTATTAGAACAGTTGGAGACTGTATTCTTTTTGGTTTCCTAATAATCTACCAAGATTGGGTCTCTGTATTGGAAAAGAAAGTGTCACAAAAGTGAATAATACAACCACAGGAGAAGCTGGAAAAATGTGCAACCGATTTGAAGTCTAGACTAGAACTAGCGATCAGTTCTGATAGGAAATATATTTAATTTTTCTCCTACCTTTTTTGGATTTGACAGATTTACCACTTATTCAAGGCAAAGCTATCAACCATTCTCCATTCCAGTGGAGTGAACAGAGTTCTATATATCGAGCTCAGGACTTGTAGAAACACTTTTTCTAATAATTTTCTATCATGTCTCTTTCTTTTCCATCCTAGAAGACTCAAAATGAAGTAACTCCTCTGAGTCCTTTCTCTTGGCAATATCATTGAACAACTAAAGACTATAATAAAAATTTTCAAAAAATGTATTAAGGGATAAATCAAGCAATTTAATTTGTTTTCAAAAATGAGTAACCGAAAGAAATTAAAGTGTCTTTTTTTGCAGCTGGATACTTCTCCCATATAATATAAAAGACAATTTAATATCAGAAAATCAGAATTGATGAGGGATGAGGGAACAAGTTGTGTGTATGTAGGGTGCGGAAATAGTGATCACCTTTAACTTTAATATAGGCCCTTTTTAAATTTCACTTAGCATGTAATGGCTATATTGACTCTAATCATAATTAGCTTTTTCATTCTGAAGACATCAACTTATTGAGTAGTTAGAGCCAATTAGTAATCTCATGAGGTTTTTATTTCGTAATTTTTTGTGTTATTTTAAAGATGTTGTATGCTTAATGTCTGTGGACATTTTATGCTTCCTTTACAATGATAACTTACTATTCTATAAATGTGCCTTTGCCATATAGTATATTCATGATAATTTGGGAAATTTCAGTTTCAAAGTGTATTTTTAAACAACTGTCCTATGCCAATAAATATTTTGATGTTACTACATATTGTTCTATTAAAATTTCATAATTTTGCATTATATGATATGGAAGAGTATAACAATGTTAGGTTTTATTAGAACCCTTTGATGCTATTTATCATCATTACCCATTACCCTGTTGATGATATTTGTAAAATGTGATTATACCAGCAAAGTGTATATTTTTCTGTAAAATTAGTTAAGGGAGTTTCTTGGTTAATTTGTTTTCATTTCTGTTTATAGAACCAATTATTATATGAATTACTATTCTGAATTTTTGTTTTTTGAGTGATGATGCTGAGGATGAGTTAATCTGCTGCTATTTCTCACATAACCTAAAAGTGATACTCTTAGAAGTCAATTACAATATCAAAGAGCAAGAGAAGACACAGAGTTGACCTAAGCATCATACAAATGAGAAGGTGTGGCTTAGGGAAGTTGATTGACATGGCTAAACTTACTAATTCACAGTACAGCCAATGTAACATATAAAACCAACGTTGAGGTTGTAGCTGCAGGTTATATCCTGCAGAGCCCAGTACTAACCAGAACTTGTGAAATCATCTCTTTAGAGAAGAGGGAAAACATACAGCTCCAACTAAATTTGTTTTGGGTCCCTGGTTAAAGTCAGAAAATCTTAATTTTAGGACAAATTTATGGATCACACCTAACCAAACACAGCCAGTCTAAGTAAACGACATAGAAGCAATAGGATAGATTAAACCATTTCCAATGATCCAGTGCCACTGCTTGGGTTTATCTTCTGAACTGTCTGTGATGCATCAGAGGTCCAAGTTTCATTCGCCTATTGCAGACTGGTGCAACGTGCAAGATCCCACCAGGCATAGCAAGTCGAATGTGATCGTTCATGATAAAATAAGTTTTTTTTTTCTTTTTTTAGGTCATTTTTTTTGTAAAATTAAAGGTTTTTGGATTATACTAGCTGGATGAAAGCTCTTTATAGCCCAGAGAATAATTGTAAAATATGAACAGCATGTCACTTTTCTATGGCAATGTAACAACAGTAAATACATTTGCTACAAGTACTTATGATTATTAGCTAATCTATTTGATTCCCTTTAACCAACTTTGTCCACTTTCTCTGTTAGGTATGTGTGCACACACATACAAACACATTTAAAAAAAAAAAAAAGAACCTCACTGCATGTCTGGGAAGTCCATAGCTAAGTATCTGTACATTTGATCCTCCAGGAGAGGAAGTCATTATGAGGAATGAGACACAATTTGAAATATCTTGACTAAAAGAGGAAATAAATAATCAATCTTTTGTCCTTGGGTGAATTGGCTTTAGACAATCAAAGATCAGAAGGAGATGAGGGCAGATATTTATTAAGATATTGTTACAAACATCTTGGCACATTTCTTTTTACATTGTCCTATGCTGTCACAATCAAGCTGCTGCTGTGATTCACCAAACCAACTCTTTATATAGGGTACTTTCCTATTCTAGGAAAAAAATAACACTTGAAGAAAGAGGAAATAAGATAAATGGAAAAATTACCAAATTGACCTTTAAATATCTTGATTTTAAATGTATTTTAAAGGTATTTTGTCTTGCAGACATTAGCCAAATGATCAAACAATGTAGATTCTTAAATACAGGAAGCAAAACCTTCGGTAATTCTGAATACTGATGAGTACCCCACTGGCAGATCCCAATTATATCAGCTTTCTATTTTGGCTTTAGTTCCTCAGGTGACATTTTATCCCCTAATATAGCAACTTCATTCAACTTACTCCTTGGAATTTCAGCACAGTGGGGTCCTTTCCGTAGACAGAAATCTGAATGAATAGAGTTTTAAT